GGCACAAAGAAATAAATTTACATAGATTAGATAGCCTAGAGAAGGTGATACTATTTAGTTTTAAATCACTGTAAATTACTATATTTATGTATACTACGTTTAATTAGAATACCCCAAACCCCAAGGGTGGCACCACTGCCCTGGCCGGGTTCCCTTATTTTTTCCACCTGTTGGTTTTTCAGAGTTTTCGTGTCCGGCTTTGGTGCACTTAGTTTTCCAATCTTTTAACATTTATTGACATTGAATAAATGGCACATTGGCTTGGCTGTCCAACGCGCCCAATTTAATCACGATGTGTGTCCGGATGAGTAGTAGAGAAAATTAGGGTTAATTCGCTCTTAAAGACGGTTTTAATAAACGCTCCCAAGAGATTGAAGCTACTCTGTAAGAGCTGCTGAACTATCTGAACTAGATCTTAGAGCGCAGTAACCTCACTGGTGAGACGTATGCATAAAGCTCAAGACCAAGAAACATCACACCGACTCCAGGCGGCCCGGAGACAGCAGTAACAGAAGTTTTAGAAACAGAACATCTAAAAAGAAGTATATTCAAAACGAAATTACGTCATGTCGCGAAGGCCAGAAAAGCCAGATTATGCTACGGCAGTGCTAAATTTAGATAAAAGCTAAAAATTATGCTCGGTTTGCTAAATTATGCCAAACATTATGCTAGCACAATCGACAATAGTCTACCTATTGAGCTNAATGGCACGGTGGCTTGGCTGTCCAACGCGCCCAATTTAATCACGATGTGTGTCCGGATGAGTAGTGGAGGAAAATTAGGGTTAATTTGCTCTTAAAGACGGTTTTAATAAACGCTCTCAAGAGATTTAAGCTACTCTGTAAGACATTGTAAACTACTGAACTATCTGAACTAGATCTTAGAGCGCAGTAGCCTCACTGGTGAGCCGTATGCCTGAAGCTCAAGGCCAAGAAACATCACACCGACTCCAGGCGGCCCGGAGACAGCAGTAACAGAAGTCTTAGAAACAGAACATCTAAAAGGAAGTATATTCAAAACGAAATTACGTCATGTCGCGAAGGCCAGAAAAGCCAGATTATGCTACGGCATTGCTAAATTTAGATAAAAGCTAAAAATTGTGCTCGGTTTGCTAAATCATGCCAAACATTACGCTAGCACAATCGACAATAGTCTACCTATTGAGCTTAGACGTAAAAACGTCAAGTTATTAGGAAATCTTAAA